TAAAATTTTTATTATATTATAAATCTCTATGAATCAGGATAAGACAATTTTTAATGAAACTGTTCATTAATCAAAGGATTGTTCTCTACTCTTCCTTATTAGAGATAAACTATATTCTCTGAGAAAAAGTCATCTACAGTATTAGCTAAACCTTCTTAAAATATTTAAGATTATATTATTTAAAGAGTATTTTTAAAGTTATATTTGAAAGAGTTTAGACCATACAAATTCGTGTAATTGATATACAGTATTACTTAAAAAACGTGGATAAGCAAAAAAATGAAAAATGTCAGCAATAAAGAAATATCAAAAAAAAATTTATATGAAACAAATGCAAAGAAGATAGTTATAAAATTAAATATAAATATTTTTAAAAATTATGGTTTTAAATAAACTTCAGAAAAAATATTTTTGAAAAATTGATAAAAAATGTGGATAAAATATTTTTCCATACAATATTTTCTTTTTAATAAAATTTTGCAATACCATTATGACTAAAAAAATTGATGATTATGTTAATGTATCAATTGAAGATGATTTAAAGACTGGGATGAGTCAAAGCGAAATTGTAATTAAAAGAGTTGTAAGCAAATCTTTTGTTGATAAAATAAATATTTAATTACAAAAGAATATACCTCAAGGTCAAAAATATAGTTCTGGTAGAAAATAATTGTTAAAAGATGAGTTAAAAAGAGAGTTGAACTTGATTTATGATAAAAATGATAAAGAATCTTGTGCAAAGATTACATAAAAATTTTTAGATGAATATAAAATAAATGGTTTAAGGCAAACTGTTTCAAGAATTTAACTCAATTTAGACTTGTAATAACAAAACCAGCAAAAAGCCACTTCTGAAACCTGTTAACATAAAGATAAGACTTTTATTATCAGAAAAATTTTTAGGTATATCAAATGAGACCCTAAAAACAATAATTTTTACTGATGAATGCAAATTTAATCTCTTTAATAGTGATGGAATAAAGTATGTCAGGTATTTTCTAGGAGAACGTTACAAACCTGAAAATACAATTTTAAGTGTAAAACATGATGAGGATAAGTAATGGTTTGGGGCTATATATCATACAGCGATATTGGTAAAATTACTATTATTAAATAAACAATGAATGCTGCTTTGTCTAAGCAAATATTAGCTCAAAATCTTAGACAATCAGCATTAGAAATGGGTCTTGATGAATTTATTTTTATACAGGGCAATGATCCAAAGCATACTTCAAGGCTTATTTCTAACTGGTTGGATTAAAAAAATAGAAGTTTTAGAATAACCTCTTTAGAGTTCAGATATGAAACTTATTGAGGCAGTATTGACATTTGGGATCAAGTCTCTTTTTTTCCCAGAAAAATAAACAAAAAAATAATTTTATTAAAATCATAATAATATTAATAATTCTTCAAAGTTCTTATTAAATCCAAGATTATTTTTCCAAACCAGTTCCTTTATTAATAAATTAACCTTTAATTCCACAACACCATTGTGTATTTTTAGAACATACTTGCATTTATTCTATACACTTTCAATGTTCTGAGTGTGAACACCAGTTTGTTGGTTCACAAAGATTTCACTGTGATTAACAGTAAAATAGGAAAATCAGAAATTACTATTACCAATGCGAGCATAAGCTCGCTATTCATCAGAGTGTATTACACTCCCAGGTAAACAAACATCCACTATTATTGGTAAAAGCGTGAAAGCTGCCCTTTTGAGAACAACATGAAATGAGATTTTAGCTGGGTGAATGACACATCTGCCAAACCAAATACCCATATCTCTCTTTCTGGCTGTCTGCCACATTGGTATTTTTGTTTATGTCGAAATAGACTTTCATCTATTTGAACAACCATACTGTCGCCTCCGAGGCGAAGCAGGTTTTCAATGGCATATTTTAAACACTGACTTCGTAGAAGATCAATTATTTTCATAATTATCTTTCTTCCCACGTTCACCTCTGACCCTATCTGTACTTGAGTTTGGTTGTTAAACCATTTATAACATATCTGTAGTATGCTACTCAGAGGTACATTGAAACTTGATAATAGCGATTCAATGCGAATAGAAATGTATTTACTGTAGTTAATACACCTAAATGCCACTCCATCTCTATTTCTAGAGTATGGTCTAGTTTCCATATCTTGTTGACAAGATATACATTTCACGTACCTCTTCAATACGCCCTTGGTGCGAGAAAACTCTATCAAGTTTTCATTCGGCCCGCGCAAAAGCGGTTCTAAAACTCTGCTATACCAATGATTCATGGGTTTAAAAAGTGTTTTTAAAAAATATTTTATTGTATTTTTCTAATATTTTAACGGTCCCTTTTTTCCCCATGTGGGAAAAAAAGGACTTGATCCGACATTTGTTAAATTGAAACTAGCTAAACCTGGTAAATTGAAAAGAAATGAATTAAAAGACAGGATAACTGAGATTTGGTATTTAAACCTGATGAACTGATTCAGAATTATGTTATTAGCTTTCATAAAAGATGTTTAGCAGTTTTTAATACAAAAAGAAAATAATACTAAATATTAAAATTTTTTGTCCACATTTTTTTGGTCAATTTTTCTAAAATTTATTTAAAAACATAATTTTTAAAAGTATTTTTTTATTTGATTCTAAAACTATCTACTTTGCATTTTTAATAAAAAATTTTATGAAATTTCTTTATTGATGATATTTTTCATTTTTTTACTTGTCCACGTTTTTTTGAGCAATACTGTATATCAGTAATATGGGTGGATAAATAAATGTTTTTATTAAAAAACTGTTTATTTATGGTTAGTAAACTAATAAAAATTTTAAACAGCTGATAAAAAAATTTGCAAATCTGAATTTAAAAAGTTTTTTTCAAATTTAATAATCTCATATTGTTTTTTTCCCTTTAAATGACAAGAAATTTATCACATGACAATAAAATACGAATTATTACATTATATCAAGAGAATTATTTACAACTTTAATTAGCAGAAAAATTTAATGTTAATAAATCTACAATATCAAGATTGATATCTAAATTTAACAAAAAATACTGTTCTACGTAAAAAAGGAAGCAAAAGACCGAAATTACTAGATAAAAGTAATATAAAATTTTTTAAAGACAATATTAATATTAATCCTAAAATAGGATCTATAAAATTATCTAAAGAAATTAAAGATGAAAAGAATATTAAGGTTTCTCCTCGTACTATTCGACGTGAAATAAGTAAAAATAATCTTGATGGTTTTATTTCTTGTAAAAAACCAATACATTCAGATAAAAATTTAAAAAAAGATATGATTTTACAAAAATTAATTTATGGAAAAAAAAGATTGTTGGAGACAAATTCTCTGGTCTGATGAGACTAAAATTAATGTGTTTAAAGTTGATGGAAGAATTTATGTGAGAAGATAAAGGGGTAATAGATATTTAAAGAAATACCTAACACCTACGGTAAAATATGGTAAAGGAAACATTAAACTTTAGGGTTGTTTCTCATACAATGATGTAGGTAGATTAGAAATAATCAAAGGAAATATAGATGCAATCATGTATACTAAGATCTTAAACAAGAATCTGAAAAAATCAGCCAAGAATTTAGGCTTGGATGAAAATTTTGTCTTTCAGCAAGATAATGATCCTAAGCACACTGCTAAGATCACAGATGATTGGTTTGAAAAAAATAATATCAATGTTTTAGATCGGTCTTCTCAGAGTCCAGATCTTAATCCAATTGAAAATCTTTGGCAATATTTAAAATTACGTGTACATGAAAGATTACCAAAACCAGTTAAAGATTTGGAAGAAATAGTAATAGAGGAATGGTACAAAATAGCAGTACAGGTTTGCCAAACTTATATTGACTCTATGGAAAGAAGAATCGAAGCAGTTTTTAGGTCTAAAGGTGGTCATTGTAAATAGTAAATTTTAAGTTGCAAATTTTTTGACCAGCTGTTTAAAATTTTTATTAGTTTACTAGCCATAAATAAACAATTTTCTTTAAAATAAAAACATTTATTTATATACCCATATTACTTATACATATAGAAGAAAATCGTTTCTTAAGTAACATTTTCTATGTCACTTTGTAACAGTTGCGTTTTTTTTTGACCGTAACTGTAATTTCAAATTTTCATCTTTTTAATAATAAAATATTTTTTCTTAAAATAATTGTATTTGTTTGAGATTAAAAATAATATGTGAGTACGAACAACTTCAATTCTATCAAAAAAGGTTTTTAGTAATAGATTTAAAAAATATTTTTTTATAACTAAACGAATCAAACTTAAAGAAAACTGTTTTTAAATAAAGTTTTTCGATCAAAAGACGAATCTTTGCAATCAAGTGTAGAACTTTTACAATCAACTGTAGAATAAAAAAATTATTGTCGAATATTTTAATTAGTTTGCAACCAACTATAGAATCTTTGCAATCAATTGTAGAGAAAAATATTTTTTTTGAAAAATTTAGCCCTTATTGTGACTTTAGAAAATAAACAAACTAAAGTGAGGAGAAAACAAGTGACTTCTGAAGACAGGGAAAGAATTGTCTCAAAGGTTCTTGCTGGTTTGTCTATAAAAGACATCTCTGTCGCATTGGACATTAACTATATTGCAACCAATTTTATAAAAACTGGTGATGTTCATGCAAAACTATGTGGCAGAGACAGGCGTTCAAAGTTAACACTTGAACAAAAAGAAACGATTTTTGCCTGACTAGACACAGATTGCCTGCAAAGACTTAAGGATTTAGCTACCATAGTAACTGAATCATTCGGTATCAATGTCTCTTTAAGCACAATTAATCGTTGTCTTAGAGAATTTCATTATACCATTAAGCGAATCACAATAGTACCTGAGTGTAGAAATTGTGATCGTACAGTTGAGCAAAGCCTTGTGTATGCAGGTAAATTTAAAGAACTAGAAGAGCAATACGAGCATAAAAACCTCGTATTTTTAGATGAGGTAGGGTTTACCGTTTCAAACGAACAAATTAAGGACGCTCATTCATGGGGATATCAGCTTATGTAAATATCCCTGCAGCAAGAACAAGAAATATTTCTGTTTTTGCAGCTATGAATAAATATGGTATGTTATATCATAAAATTCATGGCAGGGCTCTCAACGGTGAAACCTTTAAAACCTGTCTTCAGGAGCTGAAAGCAAAATGTAATGATAGTGGCATTGATACCCCTTTATTTATTATGGATAATACCAGAATTCACCACTATTCGGGGCTAATTGAAACAATTTGTGATCTGGGTTAGAACTGGTTTTTTACTCCCTACTCCCCATTCCTAAATCAAAATTAGAATTACTTTTCTGTTTGGAAAAATTTCGTTGTAAGGGGTGCTGCAACATCTGAACCAGAGCTCAAAAATTTAATTGCTCAGGATTTAATGAGGTTTCATCACAAAGTTGTGATGCATTTTACATGAAGATACTTAGATATGTTAATCGTTCAGCTGAAGGTGAGATTATTTTAGAATAAATTCTATTGATATCCTTTTTATTTTTTTAAACTTCTACATTTGATTGCAAGGATTCTACATTTGATTGCAAAGATTCTATAGTTGATTGCAAAGGTTCTACAGTTGGTTGCAAACTAATTAAAATATTCGACAAAAATTTTTTTATTCTACAGTTGATTGCAAAGGTTCTACACTTGATTGCAAAGATTCTACAGATGGTTGCAAAGATTCTTTTTTTGATCGAAAACTCTATAATATATTTTTAGAGTATATTTTTAAAGAATTTTTGAGGATACTCAATGTAGACAGTTTTAAAAATTTATCAAATTATTCTATTTTTATATTAATTACATTAGATCTATTAAACGGGAATAAAATTTATTGTTCAATATTCCATGGGATTCTATTCATTA